CTTTCTTTCTTTTCTTTTTTTTTTTTTTTTAACGACGATATCGATTACGATGATCATTCCTCTCAATCGATCGGCTGGATCTCGATAAAACGAATAAAAATATCAGTCTTTCGAGGATGTAAATTTGAGTGCTGGTTACATGTATAATAAGTGAAAACAAAATGCGTTCCTAGTTTCCTTAAGAAAGTGTAAAAAAAGAGATATACATCGAGGAGAACGTAGCGTTCGGCATTCGAGTATCGGGAAAAGAGAATCGAAGAAATTCAAAGGAATGTAAAAGTTTATAAACTGGCATAAAAGTTATTTACACTTTTATACAAAAGTGTTATGCGTACACGCGGAGTATACATATATATATATATATATATATACGAATATGCGAAGAACAGTGAAAACGGAGGAATTGTAAATTTCAACCATCAGTTCTTTTCTTTTTTCGCACGTACGTACGACCGGGAAGGAGGAGGAGGAGGAGGAGGAGAAGGAGAAGAAGAAGAAGAAGAAGAAGAAGAAGAATTATTCAAGTTTGTATTGACCGTTTATCAATGATTATCCACCTGAAATGAATGGGCATAAACGTTTATACCGACATTCGTTGAATGCGCGTGAAATTAAAATTAACCATGAACGTGAAAATTAACCACAAACAGCTAATGTTAGTCATTCTTCGTCCGCGTCTAAATTAATCTTTCAACTTTCCTTAAATGATCGTGTCCCATTCTCGCTTCAGATAATATTTTAATGCTTTGAAAAATATTGAAAAAAATTGGCAAATTAACGCGCAATTCAACAACGATTCCTTCAACGAAACCTTCTCCTTTTTTTTTTTTTTTTTTTAACCTATAAAAGAAAACAATCGATTATTATATATCGTTTCGAAATATTATGTTAAAACGATGTAACAATGTTAAGATCACGTTTCCTCAACGCGACTCGTCAATTGTGCGCAATGTGCAACCACGCATCACACGTATATTCACTGCCACTTACGATCCTGTACAATTCGGTTCGGTTTTCCTTTCTGCTCGTTACGTTTATTAATATATGGAACGAAACAAGTATGATTCGGCTCGGATCGATTTGTATCGAGTACATATTTTTTAAAGAAGAAATTCATTTTCCTGGTTATTTTCCTATGCGTCTAGTCTTCAAAAATCAATTCTTTTCTTTTCCTTTTTTTTTTTAACGTAGATACAGAAATATCCTTTGCAAGTCGAACTTGCTGATTCGTAGCAATCAATTTTGATAGGTTCTACGGTTAATCGATAATAATGTATATAATCGTATAGAATCGAAAACTATTCTTTATTTTATCCTTTAAGTAGTCGTTTCTTCTCTCTCTTTCTCTTTCTCTCAAAATCGTATTGCTTCGTCTTTAAAAAAAAAAACTTCCATTATCTTAAATACACCTTAAATGTAAAGAACACGTCTTTGGCGTAAATTATTTATATTAATGGCAAATTTAAATTTATTATGACGAAATGATAATTGTCGTTCTATCGATTAATTTTTTTTTCTTTTATTAAAATTTATAGAAATATTTTTTCCCCTAAAGTATTGATTAATTACTTCGAAAGGTATACTCGAAAAATTTTCATAGGAGAAATCATTCGTTAAAAAATTATGATTTTTGATCGTTATTCTCTCTCTCTCTCTCTCTATATATATATATATCGATCTAAAAACGTATCTAAAAGTATCTTCAATGCATATGATGTCGAATAATCGAATTGAATATTTATTTCAAGGAAAAGTATAAATGATTAAAAATTCGTAAAAAAGAACTTCTCGCAAGATTATTCGCCCACTAATCGAACAGATTCTCCATTTCCTATTCATGTATAAAAACAGTCCAAGGAAAGTTCAAGTTGTTGAAATAAATCGTACATCTTTCGTTCTAATTTATCGTAAAAACAATTTGTTTTTATTATCGTCTTTCTAACAACGGCGATCTATCCGTGATGTTCAAAATTCAAATTATTCAAATTATTAAAATAAAATAATAAATTGATAGGAAATTGCGTAATTCGATCAATAAACCATTCGATCTAATCGTATATCTTTTCTCTCGTTTTTACGCTGTAATGCGCAACGATAAAAATTTTGATCACGTTTCGATATTTGCTGCATAGAAGGAAATCCAGTATTACATACTTGGAATCTCCTCACCGATCGAAATATAACAATAAATATCGCGAAGACTAAGAAATTTCGCGTGAATATTTTGCGAAGAGTTTATAAAAAAAATAGGATAAAAAAAAGAAAAGAAATCGACGCAATATATATCTACGTACAAGTAAAATTAAGTAGCAGCTAATAGGAGAAGAATAATGTGATAAGAGAAAAAATTGATAAAATGTAACTGTAAAACGAAAAAAAAAAAAAGAATTGTGTAGATATGTATGTGCGCACGCTTGTTTATATAGGATATTGAAAAAAACAATGTTTGTAAAAATACAAATGAACTGTATTAACATTTAAAGAAATATATTATAAAGATTAACAAACGCAATCATTTTTCACAGTTTCAACACGACCAACGATAACAGCGAATCGGTAAAAATTATAAAATATTTAATTATAAAATATTTCTGCCATGTTTCTGCATGTCGCATTTAATAAATGCTGTAACGAATTCCCCGTTACACAACAATATAGTTTTGTATACAACAAAAGAAGAAGAAGAAGAAGAAGAAGAAGAAGAAGAAGAAGAAGAAGAAAAGAAAAAGAAGAAAAAATGTGCTTAATAATAATAATAATAATAATCTTTCTAATTTCTTCTAACGTTTTGTAACGACGAATATGATCTCGTAAATAATTTTTCAAATATAACCAATGTAAAAAAAAACATGACGTGCAAAAACAAGGCGCACACAAATATATATACGTATGTCCCTAAATACACACGTATCCCTTAGATTCGAATGAGCATGGTAACGTACAACTGTGGTGAAAAATAATACTTAGGAACAAAAAATATCTACAAGTCATCTATTTATAGACAGAAAGTCACGTGGACAATATGACGGACAAATGTACCAATGATGGAAATATAATCCAAATCAATGTTACAAAATGAATTAGTATTGTTATTAATAAAAAAAAAAAAAAAAAAAAAAAAAAGAAAACCTAGATAAAATTTAATAACGCGTTAAAATATTACACAATATTATTTGAAAATATAAATCAATTGCACTTTTACTTTCTAATCGTTATAATTGTTGAAAAATATTTTTCAATTTCGCATTATTGATTTATTCATATTATATAATATTTGATCTACCAATTAATAAAAAAATTTCTATACATTTGACTAGAATTTCCTAACGAATTTTTCTCAGTTAATCGAACAACTATTGACGCCATTTTATTTATTAAACTATATAATATATAAACGTAAACATAATATCATGATTAGATATTAGCAGGGCAATAACAATAATATACGAAACGTTATATAATCTTATCAGTAAGGCAAATTAACGAATACAATATTAATAAGAAATGATTTAAGTATTTATCTCTTTTTCTTTGCCCTTGTCATTTCTTTGACCTTGAAGGCAATTGTGTACTGCGTGCTTGAATTTATTTTAAGATACGATATAAATTGTTAAAATTATAGCATCTCACAGTTTAAAAAATTGAGGATTATCTCGAAATCTTTGAAAAAAAGAAAAATACAAATATAAATTAAATTTGTACGAATCAATATTAAAATTTTATAATATACATATGTACGTGTTACAATTAATTTGTGTTCCAATAAAAAAAAAATCAGGTATTCGCAATACCTGTTAAATACATCAAGATTATTTTTTTCAATAATTGAAATAGAATTTTGTACAATAGTTGTTTAAGAAGAAATGTATACGCAATGTACACGTAACAAAAAATATACAATAATCTTTCTTCGAATTAACACTTTTCATTTCTTTTCTTTTTTTTTTATTTTAATAACATAAACAAAGATACTTTGTCATAATCAGAGATTATCATTTGTTTAATGAATTATTATTCAAATGTTTCATCATTCAAATCATTCGTCAATTTTTTTTTTTTTTTCTCCCTTTAACTAATCAAACGCAAGATCGGAGCGAGTCATTTTTAACATTTTTCAATCTTTAATCACCGCATCTAGATATTTTTTTAATTCAGACTTAAAGCGAATGAAAAATGTAAAATTGATAGAAAAACGAGTTGATCGAAAATGAAAAAGGAAACATTCGCAAATTTGAATAGAAATAGAAAATTAAAATTCATAAATTACGTATGAAGATGAAGTTGGACACATGGGCAAGTAAAAAAAAAAAAAAAAAAAAGAAAAGAAAAGAGAGAGAGAGAAACGAATGATTGGTAAAAATTAAAAATAATAACAATCAATTAAAAACAAAAACTTGCATTGGTATATTGTTAAAAAAACAATTATCCTTACTAAAATCTTTAACAATTTTATAGCATCGTTCGTTTTTTCATCGATATTCTTATTATTTCGTTAATTAATTAATCGTCATCATGCATGAACTGAATAAAATATCTTAATAATAGCGAAGAAAGTTTCAACTTAACGTTAATGCATTTGAAAATTCTAGTCAAATGTGTCGAAAATATTTCGATTCGATGTGCAACTCGAGCAACGATAGTTTTATATTTTTTCGAGCTTAACCGAAAGAAGAAAAAGAAGTTGGAAAAAAAGACTGGATACATATTTTTAAAAGAAAATTATCTCAAATATAACATTATATTCGAAAAGATCGATACACGTGTACGTACGTCACAAGCAAACAAAATAACAAAGAATTTTTCTATTCCATGTATCGTTTGTAATCAGCGTTGATGCAACAACAACGCAGATAGATTATTTCTAATATGTAGGTACACATACGTACATTTTATTTAACAACCGGCCCGAATAAACGAAATCGATACGAATAAATTATAATTATCATCGAATTTGATGCGATTTATTCCTACTTGCATGCACTACTTTATACCTAATACGCCTTATTTTTAATTCTTTTTTAATTCGTATACAGATTATCAACGTAATTCGCTTTTTTTATTTTTTCCTTTTTGCGATAACACAGAAAAAAATTTGCTACATCACAAGTATTATGATACACAATGTACTAATCTTTGTCATCGTTTCACACGCTCGCGTCCTTTTCTCGTTTCCTTCTCTTTCCTTCTTTACTTGTACATATCTATTTACACGGAGAAACAGATATATGTCTCAATATCGTATATATAAAATAGAAACATATTTGTTATATTACACAAGATCTATACAGGCAAAATGATCGTATCGTATCATAATTCGGTGCCTAGAACATCGCGCATTCCATATCATTCTCATTATAATATTGTATATATACATATATATATATATGTGTATGTATATATATATATATATATATATTACGTTAATAAAGAAGAAAGCAATAATTTTTCGCTAATCGAACAAACATAACGATCCTACATACTACACGTATTATATCATATTGAAATAATCGAATCACGTTGAAAACGAACGAATCGGAGGACTGAGGCATTATTCATTCTAATCTCCATGTTCTTTGGTATAATATGTCAGATAATTACGATAAACTGATGATGGAACAAAAATATCTTCAACGAAACAACAAATTCAATGATCTCATTGTAAAAGACGCGCGTACAAAACCAACGAAAGTGTTGTATACGCGTAGAGGAAGTTATCAAAAGTTGTACAAAAATTATTACGAAAAATGAATTAAAAATTTTAAAAATCTTTACGTATAAGAAAGTTAACAGTGTTCGCACACGCACAAAAAAAAAATGAAAAATAATACGTAATTGTGACGACAAGATATCCGGTAATAAAAAATATTCGATGAATTGCTTCGTGTATTTTATGCGCACCCGTGTATGCGTGTACATAAAGATACATACGACAGATTATGTGATTATATTCACATAAAAATGCATATATATAAATGTGAGCGAGAGATCAAAAATAAACAGAATATTAAGAAAAATAATTGTGCAGACGGAGAATCAAATACAACACTTTGGTTACAAGTATTATCGATACTTGATTCGCTAAAGAGACAAAGATTAACGGATTTTCATACATATATATATATATATATATATGTATGTATGTATGTATGTATGTATGTATGTATACAATATATGTACATATAAAGAAGAAAATAGGCTGTTGTTTTGATACGATAAAGGGAAGGGAAAAAAGAAACAGTACGATATATGCGAATTTTCATTACGTACGAGTTGAAAAACACGAAAAGAGCGTAAGCGTTAGAGCTATAGTCTAGTTTAAACTTCGATTAAAATTCAATTTTAACGATTATAATAAAGGAAACGAATGGAATCCCGAATTCTATAGATAAATACGATTATGTCGAGAAAATTACATTCGAAATTAATTTCCAATAATACGTCTATGTAAATACGTATTGGTAAATACGCGATGAACGAAGCGTTGAAGATTTGAGAAAAAATCTTGAGAAAATATTTGACATGATGAAATGAGAATATACAAGTATATCGAATATATTGATCCGAATTAGAAAACTAAGTATCGGTATATATATATGACGACGTATAATCGAAAAAGGAAAATTTGTGTTTAAAATGATTGTGAGGATGACAAGGAAGAAAAGATAAAGCGTGCACGCGTTACGCGTAATCGTGTCACGTGATCTGGAAAGGAAAAAGAAAATGAAAGAGATCAAGTTGAATTATTTATAGATTGTCTCTATGTACTTATGCATGGAAGGAAAGGGAAGGAGAGATGTAGGGAATAGAACGATGGACAAGAGAGAAAAGAATAAGGAAAGAATAAAAACTCACAAGAAGAAGAGAAAGAATTAGAAAATCGGCATGGTATCTGGCAATGTTTGGCAGGCACCGAGGAAACATGTTGGTCACCGATACGAATGTAGGGACGCGTATAATGTGTACGATTGAGAAAAAGCCATCACCGCACGTGCCAAAGACCAAGATTTAACGTACTCAATTGCGGTAATTTCATAATCCTCTCTAAGCCATTGGTACTTATCCTGGTGCATCCGTAAAGATCGATACATTTCAAGTGTTTCATACTCTCAGCAATGGTGTAGAGTCCTTTATCCGTCAATCGGCTGCACTGACCAATATTCAACGTTTCCAAATCGTGCAACGTCTTTGCGATCTTGCAAATACCTTCGTCGCTGATTTGACAAGCAGATAGCGACAGTAATTTCAAATTAAACAATCCTTGGGAAATGTGAACGAGCGCTTGATCTCCGATTTTATCGCAAAATGACACATCCAGTGAAGAAATCCTACTGCCGCCTTCCGCAAGATAAGCCATACCGATATCGGAAACATTGTCACAGGATCGAAGGTTCAATTCGCGCAAACTAGACATCTTGGCTAGATGTTTCAGCCCTGAATCGGTAATACATACGCAAAACGAGAGATTAATCGATTTCAAAGTGGTTAAACCGATCGACACGTGCCTGAGAGCTTCGTCGCTCAGCCGTTGACAATCCTGAAGGCTCAAATGTTCCAATGCAAGATTTCCTCCGGCTGCTTCGCGATTTACACCAGCCAAATGAGCAATACCCAAGTCGGATACTTGCCAACAACTTCGTAAATCGAGTCTTTTTAATTTCTTCAAATTCCATGCTATACAGAGAAGCCCTCCGTTGGTAATGTTACAGCAACCACCGAGTTCTAAATGTTCGAGATTTTTTAAATACTGCACTATCCTACCGAGAGAAATGTCTGACACTTGTTTGCACAACGAAAGATTGAGTTCGGTAAGCGTGGTATATTCTTGGCAAAAAGCATTGATCAAGCCAGCGTCGGTAATATTATAGCAACCCGAGAGATTCAACGCCTCCAAGTTTGGCACGCCTTTCAAAACATCGCCGAGACCTCTCCGCAACGACAGTACCTGCACCCTTTTCACTCCTCTTCTTACCAGACTAGCGAATAACGCTGGCGCCTGTTTTCTTAGGTGTAATCTGGCCTCAACCCCTCGCCAAACAGATCGGTAATACGCTGCATCTCTCCACGCCGTGCATACTTGGGCGGCACGTCCCTTATCTCTGACCTCGAGGTAGCTGAAGATCAACGCCAATATTTCAGGATACAGGCAGGAGATATGCGTGCTCGGTGTGACAGTACCGCGAGCAATTACTTGCGGTTGTTGCCTCGATGAAAGACCTTGCGCGTATGCCGGTAGACCGGTCGTACCGCTAGTATAATGTGGCGCGTTACTCGAGTTATAAAGAATCCCTTGACTCTGCGAGGTCGGTATCGCAGCCAGGTGCGGTTGGTGTAACTGATAATAATGTCTTGAACGATGAAGCAACGTTGTACCGCGACTCGGCGTCAATGCCGGAAGTTCCGTCATCAACAGCTGACTTTCCTCCATCTTGCCCACTGATATACTATACACACGCACGCACGCATATACACGTTTCTTAAAAACTCTTAATGTTATTATTTCGTGCACGTTTTCCCCTTTATTTTATTCCTTTCCGTTTTCTTCGCTTCTCTTTCTTATAATTTCTTCCCTATACATTTCTCTGGGATTTCTTTATGGGATCATCTCTTCATATTTCTCACTTCTGCTTCTCCTTGCTTTCTTTCAAACACCGCTATTCTATTTCTTTCTCGCGATTAATTATATCGTACCATGTATCTCGTATCATATTTCGTCTTCGATTTTTCCATGTAAATAATAAGTCGAAATCAACGATATTCAATCTCGAACACTGTACTTTTCTATCGATCACGTTAATATCTACTTGGATTAAATCGAACATCGATGATAAATTTATTTTAATCGATGAAAAATAAAAGAAAAAGTTCGTCGATTATATATTGCTTTACGATTTTCAGTCCCACGCGGATCGCTTAATACTCACGAACACCGCATAATAAATGTAACGCTATCATATTTTTTGATTCCTATTTTCCTTCGTCCACGCGTTTCGCTTTCTTCTTTCTTTCTTGTTCTCTATATTTCTCTCTCTTGTTCTCTCGGTTCTTTCCTGACCGTTCTCCTTTAACCTCCCTCGCACCGTCCTTCTCTTCTTCTTCTCTTTCTATTATGTATAAATACATGTATGTATTCATCTACTATAAAGTACATACACACACGCGCGCACGCGCGCGCGCGTGTGCGTGTGTGTGTTTGAGTGCGCGTGTATGTAACGTTATTACGTGCCTGTATCTGTAAGCGCGCCCGCAAGCGCGCGTATCTATATATGTATGCGTACGCGTACGTCGTGCGTGTCACACGTATGATGTATAGTATTATTTTTTTTTCTTTTTTCCAATGTTTGTTATCACCCCACCATTTCCTCTCGCTGCTCCTATCTTTTTTTCGCTTATAATTGTTACTTTTCTTCCAATTTTCCTCTTTACTACAATGATCACCTTTTTCTAGACGCGATATGAATATCAGCAATACTCACACGCACACTGCCGTTACGTTCTTTCGAAATAAAAACAAGTTGCCAACAAATTTTGTCAAGCATCAAATTGATTCGTTTCTACACACCACTACCGTGATATTATCTTTGTACTCACTCCCTTAACGGTTAAACGTGTCACAAAACCACTCGCGTAACTGGCTTCGGAACGACACATCGCCAAAACGTAAACCGGTGCGCTGCCAGTCGCGAACTGTTGTTCCAGTTACCTAAAGTTAGATGTCGTGTCGTCGCTCTGTAACACAAGGAGAGTAAACTTCGTTTCAGCAAAACACCGATTGGCTGAGAGTGCTCAAACCTAGATCACGTGACTCTACCGACGAATATCGATTCGGGTCGCGCTGCGGCGGCATTTTTAAGTTTTCGTCAGGAGGTGGGGGTACAACACCATGTACTACTCCAAACCACGTTGCCAAACAGACCACTGTTCTCTTAATTTTTTTTATATACTTTATTCTTATTTTAAAATATCCTTTTCGATTAATTATTTCTCTCTCTAATTTTTCTTATTTCAATTAAAATTCTTATATCCTCTTAACAGCTATTATTATAATAATTAATTTAAAGAAAAAAAATAAATTATTTTGATTAGCATCGTATGAACGTGTATGAACGAAACATAACACGAAAAATTAAAATTTCTTATAAATATACTTATTGTGTAGAAATTTCTACATGTATATCTAAATAAAATAATAGATAAAATATCTGGCAAATAAAATAAAGAAAATCAATATTAAAACTTTAAAATAAAACTTAAAATAAAAATTATTTGTTATAATCACTGATAAAATAAATTTGTTTAAATATTATGACATTCTCAATTTTATATTTTTAAACAGTTAGTTTATAATTTATAATTTTATCATACATCCTATATATCCATATCAATAGCATCTTACATATTATATTAAATAATATCATTCAATAATTTATATAAAACTTAAATTTCTATATATTAAAAATAATATTATATTATATAAAAATATAATTATATATAAATTATATTATATAAAAATTAACTGTATAATATTATTTATAATATTAAAAATGGAAAAAAAAAGATAATATATTTGAAAAATTATTTTTTATAAATGAATTTATTTATACATTTTAATATATCTTAATTGTTAATTATTTATACATTATGATATATTTTAAGCGTTGTAGTTGCTTAAAATTAATAATTTTTTTATTCAATAATAATATTTATAAAATGTTAATACAATATTAATTATTAATTCGGAATTGATATTAAAAAGAAAGAGGTAATAAATAATCTAAAAAAATATAAAATATGTTCATATACACATAAATTCTATTTATATTTTAAAGTATATAATAATTCATGTACAATATTATAACTGTATAACAGTAAACAATATTGAATATACTTAATTGGAATATTTGTGATATGCCACTAAAACTGGCAAGTAAAATATTTACATATTATAGGATGCCACTTCATTCCCTTCATTTAAAAGATATGTTATTCTGATCAAAAACTTGTAATATCATTTAGAACTATCATTAAAACGGTATTACAGCGGCAGCTGGATAAGTATCTTAACTATTATCACAGATGATAAAATACGTTTATTGTATTATTGTAGCATGTATATATCATATTTATTATTAAAATTAGCAAATTATTATGTAATTATAAAATATTTAATTTTATACTTACAATAAATTTTGCTTACAATAACTTTTATTTCAATTATTATTATTATTATTATTATTATTATTAATAATAATAGTAATAAAACTTATAATTGTTTTAGCAATAAAAATGATTCTATAAAATGAAGATTTAAATTTGTTATTTTAAAAAATTAATTATTTAAATTACGTTCATAAAAATAAGATTTTCATAGATAATTATAGCATTGTATTAACATTAAAACTTTGTAAGACTTACACTTTACAAAATTATATTATATATTCATATTGGAAGAATAAATAATTTTAATTCTTATAATTTGTTGATTCATCTTTCACAATGAATAATTTTTTTAAATTTCCAATTCTATTTACATTGAATTTGTAATATTTAATTTACATATTATATTCTGTCAATTAAAAAATGCTTGCCTCTGTTATACCGTAAATGTTATTGATTATTATTAAAATTTGATTTATAAATGATTTATTCTAAAGCATCATCAAACTACAGGAACTTTGTACAGTGAATATGCACAAAATTTTCTTAACCTGCTGATGAAGATAATTGTTTAATTTTTATTAAATATTATATATTAACAATATTGAATTCACATTATGGTAACTTATCCAGAAAAATTTATCCATATTCATCCAAATCTCATACATACAATGTTTCTTTATTTTATTCAATAAATTTAGATTAAACTTTGTACAATATATTTCTTTATCTTCTACTTTTTTTATAAATAATTTTTTTGAAAAATGAAAAAATGAATAAAAGAAGCAGTTATGTATATTTCACTTGTTTTTCCTTTTTGTGCTGATTTTTTGTAAATTATAAATTGTACAATATAAATAGGCCTTTATATTTTTAATGCCACATTCAAAATGCAGCTTTTTGAAAAGTGTGTACTTACAAAGTTATTTTTGCTAAATAAACACTACACACTCATAACATTTGCATCCTATGTATATTGAACATTACTAGCATCAAAGTATATTTCTATGAGAATACAATCTTCGATGTTGTAATTTAATACAAAACTTAATAGTTTTAAAAAACGTCAGTATTACATTATATGATCATTTTATCGCTATCACATGCTCTCTGCTTATTTTTGTTTCATTTGTGTTATGTGATTAAATGATATCAACAGATTGCATGCTTATACAATGCTGTTAACAACACTTCTTTTTATGTTGTTTTGTGCTTTTCCTTAAATTGACTGTTTCACTGGTTTGTATAGCTTGTCGTTCCTTCCTTTCTTTTTTGGTTCTTAATACTTGTCGTGTTATAGCCATAAACATCTAAATGCAACAAATTAATGTAAATTAAAATTATTATAAAATTAAAAAATTTAATAATTAGTATTATTCTTAATTATTAAATTATATTATGTATTTAAACACATAATATAATTTAATATATATATATATATATTTAATGAAATAAAAAAATGATTTTTAAAAATATATATCAAATTTAAATTTGTATTAATATATTTATGAATTTATATTATATATATAAAATTATATTATTACATTATATATAATTGTATATTACAAAACCTAAAAGCATAAAAAATTTAATAATTATTAATAAGTAGAAAATTATAATATATAATGTATCATTTTTAATATTATTGTAATTAAAAAACAAATATTTAAATAATTCTACAACATAATAATATTTTTAGGAACAAAGCTATTCACATTATATGATATAAATAATAATAAATAATTTAATTAAAAATATATCATTTATACATTAGTGAAGAATTAAAAATTTCACACAATTGTTTTACAATTTTTGTTGTATTTTATTGCAATTTTAATAAAAAACAATAAATATTTGTATATTCTATTTTTTGATCTTTTTATTCAATTTTATTTAAATTGGCTCTCAAAAGATAAAATCTTCTTTTATAGAGAAAGTTATCATGCATCAAAATTTATTTTTAAAACAAATGTAATATATAAAATGTAGAATAATGTTTGTAACTTTAATATACGTTGTCAAAAAATATGATTTTTTATTTTCTAATTAAATATGAATTTTTTTCAATAAAATTATAGCTATTCATAGAAATATTTGCATTTTTGATTTTACAACTTTTTGTGTATGAAACAATAATTAATTTTTAAATAATATTTTATGTAATAATAAATAAAAAAATTTATAATAATTGTTTAAAACAAAAACAATAAAAATAAAATATAATTAAATAATATTTACATATTATTTAAAACAACAATTTTTATTCTTTTTTTATATTATTTTTTATATTCTTTAATTAATATTATATAAAAATCAAAGTAAGATATTTTAATATTATTTATTAAAAATATATAATATTTTTTAAATATATATATGCAATTGTCAAAGTATATTATTAAAACATACTTAAAAAGTTAAATCATTAGAAAGATTATTTAAAAAGATTTAAATACTGATATTTAAATAATTATTAAATATAAGAATATTTCAATTAAATACTATATTTTATAACTATTCTTTATATAATTATAAACTATTCTTTATGAAAATATATTTAATCATAATTATTATTTACTTACTTCTTGCACATTAACATTGTCTTTAGCAGAAGTTTCAAATAACTGAATTCCCATTTGATTTGCAAATCTTTGTGCATCTTCTGTTAATACCACCTTTTCATTAGGTGCATCATTCTTATTTCCTACAAGTACCCTGTTGACCACATCACAATTTTGTTCGATTTCATGTAACCATCTTTTAACATTAGCAAAAGAATCACCACTGGTCACATCATACACAACTATAACACCATGTGTTCCCCTGTAGTAAGTTGAAGTTATTGTCCGAAAACGTTCTTGTCCAGCTGTATCCCAAATTTGGAGTTTTACTCTCTCACCATCTACGTCCACAGTTTGAATTTTAAAATCCACTCCTATTGTTGTTATATAACTGCCATTAAAAGTATTGTCAGCAAATCGTAATAGTAGTGAACTTTTACCTACACCTTAAACAAAAAATACAAAATAAATATAAAATATAATTTAACAAAACTAATTCATATATATAAATATATTTAAATAAATAATAAATAATTATTATAATCTATAAGAGATAAAAATAAAAATAAATAATAATAATAATAATAATAATAATAATAATAATAATAATAATAAATAACTATTACTTATTAATTGAAATAATATATATGTCAATATATAACTTTGTAATTTTAAAAGAAATAATCCTAATTAAATCTCCAAAATCAATTAAATGTAGTGATTTTTTATTTATTTATTATTATTTATTATAATTTTTAATTATTGATAAAATATGTTTAATTGTATATGAACAATTTCATTTTTCAATTTTTTTTTACATTTACCAACAATATTTATTTGGTATAATTGAAAAGATATAATAAATAATAAAAATAAGAAGATATAATACAGAAGATTTGATAATTTTTTTTAAAGTTATATTAAAACAAATAATTTTATAGATATGATATAAATATTTGATATAATTGTTTGAAATTATAATCAATTTAATAAATTATATTAATATTTTATTTGTTTTATAATTGATTAATATATAGAAAATAAAACATTATTTGAAGAAATTATCTAAGAAAAGGTTAACTTCTATCATTAATATGATAACAATAATAATGACAAATACTGTTAATAAAAATTAAGTTAATAAATTTAATAAAACATAAAAATATAAATTTTCTATCAATATAACAAAAAAATAATTTTTTTTATAACTAAATACATTAAGTAGTTAAAAAAATCTAAAAACATATATATATTTTTTAATTTGAATTTTATCTTATAAACTTAAAATTTAATAAAACATTAACATAATAAATAATAATTAATTGTTTTTTTTATAAAAAATATTAAAATATTAATTTTTGTAATGATAGTAAAAAATTTGTAATTTATTGGAATATAAATAAGAAAAATATTCGGATATGTTTATTAAAAAAGAATTTTCATTTATTTATGTTAAATATATAATAAAGTTTTATTATTATTATTAATACTCTATTATATTATATATATTATTGAAGTTTTGAAAAAATATTTAATATTAAAATCTTTTATAGTTATCAAAATATTATTAAACTTATACTTAAAATATCTTCAAAATTTAATATTATACGATAAGAATTAAAAATTTTTATATCATAATTATTTAATATAATATGATAATATTAATATAATATGAATACATATAAGTAAATAGCTTCTTGATGATATTAAATATATAATTTAAATATAATTTGATATATTTTTTAATATATATCATAGAAAAGAAAATCATTTGTAAACAGAAAATTTTAATAAAGATTAGCAATGAAGATTATTACTTAAAAAAGTATAAGTTTTTAAAAAAAATTTTATATCATTATTGTAATCATATAAACAAATTTCTAAAAATCTTGATTATAATAAATTATTTTATCTATTTTCTATTAAAAATATAAATAATATGATATTCTCTCTATAATAATTTTAAAAATTATTACAATACATTTGTGTAAACTTCATTATTGATATATTTAAACAATGAAGAAAATTTGTACACTTACCACTATCTCCTATTATTAGAAGCTTAAATAAATGATCATATTCCCGGGCCATTTTGACATGTATGACGTTCAGGTTTATCAAGTGTTTCCTCGTGAAAATGATTCGAAATAAAAACGATACATTCACTGTATCGTAAATAATATGGATATAATTAAATGATATATGAATAAATTCAAAAAATAAAATTGCTAATTTGATACGAATTGAGACAACAATTGCGGCTCATTCCAACTAAAGACTCCAGTATCAAATAAGCGCCATGTTTATTTGTCGTGATATCATAATTTATTATCACCACTGAGAAAAAATTACATTTGTTAACGATGATAATTATTTCATATTAATTTCTAATAACCAACACATTTTATTTATTTCAAAATTTTTCATTTTTGATATTCAATTTTTCACATATTTAAAAAATTTAAACATATTTGGCAATAAGTGCCATTGGTTGAAAGAAAAGAAAAAACATCTTTTGATAAAATTATTTATTTAGCGAATGATTTTAAACTACTAATTGTTTCATATGATCAATTATGAAATTAAAATTTTATGTATATTCAATTAAAAAATTAAATATTTTATTACATTTTTATAAACAAATAGCAAATGTCAATACACTATACGTACATATATACATATGCATATAAACATGTTATATAAATATCATTTGTTATTAAATATTTATCCAACATTATTTCATTCCTTTTTGTTACTAATTTTCATTATTCTGTAATTATATACTTATATATTTTATGATAGATATAAAAATTTGAAATGAATAATTTAAAATATAAAAATTTACTAAATAATCGTAATATGATTTTTTTTTTCTACCTTTCCTATTCCCCTTCCCCTCAAATCTTTTCTCAGTCACTTTTTCTTTTACTTTGTTCTTTCATGCTTAACCTTTGAATAATATTGCTGAGATGTCAATAATTCCAGAAAATTGAAATATTTCTCACGTATATATAAAATAATAAATAGTAAATATTATAATATAAAATTATCATTTCTATATAAATTTGTTTAATTGCTTATAGAATAATAAAAATAATTCTCTAGATATTTTTATCAATTTTTAACATTAGTTATGTATTTCTTATTGTAATAAATTTTTATTCTATCGTTTTAAGTATTTAAAAGAAGTAAACATAATATTTTTTATAACATTTGTTAATAATTTATAAGTTTAAAAATAAAATGTCAATTTTGTTTTAAGTATTCATTATTTTTAAACTTCAATTAAAAATTACTCTAATTAAAAATTATTCTAATATGTATTTGTACATTTCATACTACTCAATAATACATTAAAAAATATGAATTTTAGCTTATATTTATGAATCTTTTACCTAATATTATATAACATTATAATTTTTTTTCTAAAATTTATAGGACAAAATAAATAAATAAAAATTAAATAATTATAAAAATTATCCTATTCCATATAAATTTCCCTTTATCCAATCATAACGAATACTATATAAATACATATAGATAATATTTTTTATAAATATTATTTAGAATATTATATAACATTTTATCATCCCCCAATAGAATATGATTTCATCTAGTGAATTCTTATTTTATTTTTCACTAAATAATAAATATAAATTATTAATAATATATTTTAGAATATCAGAATTATATAATAATTAAATTAATATTCATGTTTAAATTATCAAAAATAAATCATTCACATTTTATATCAAATATTAATACTTGTTCGATTTGATACGAATATTTGTTTTTCGATATAAATTTGATATCGTAATTGTAGATTATCGATACTAAAAATATTTAACATCGAAACAAAAGTATCGAGTTATTAAGTATATAGCTTAAACATTGCCATCTGAAGCGTAAATATTGTTCTCTAATTATTTTAAATAGAAACAATGAAATTTGACAATGATTCTTTTTGAGTGGTTTGAATTTATTTAAAACAATCGTAATTTTAATAATCATTGTTTTATGAAAACATAAATGAAAAACGAAATTGATTGTTATTAAAATAAAAGACTAATGAAAACACAGTAAGTTTAACATTTTTTTATTTAAATTTATGATAATTTTGGAAGTTTCTAAATTCAAAAACAATTATTTAATTAATATTTAATATATTTATATACAATAATATAATATATATATATTATACATAAGATTCTAACCTCTTTTTATTAAATAATTGTAATAAAATATTATTTCATATATATTATTATTAATAATAGAGTATCATTATTACTATTATAATTATGAAGATTATTATTATATATGAAGAAGTAAAACAATATAAAAATAAATATATAAATGCAATATTAATTTTGTTTGTAAAAAAATAATAAATTGATTAGCTAAAGTAATATAATATTTAGTAATATAAATTATGAATTTTGTTTTGTTTTATTACAAGATTTTACGAGATTTTTCTGTTTCAGACAATTATAAACAAGAAAATGTCTGGTCCTATGGTATTATGTCAATTATGGATGGGTGGTGTAAGTAAATATTATTTTATATGAAAATATAACTTTTATATTTTATTTCTAATATTTACAACAAAATTAAGAATATATTTTGATTTAGTTAGAACCATATATGACAGAAAGTTTTATAATGAATGCTTTTCATAAAATGGGAGAACAACCACAAACAGTTAAAGTAATGAGAAATCGTTATACTGGTGAACCTGCAGGTTATTGTTTTGTACATTTTCCAACTGATGAAATGGCACTTGATGCTATGCATAAATTAAATGGCAAAGTGATACCTGGTTCAAATCCAGTAAGGATTTACAAAGTTTTAATTAAATCCTTATTTATAATTTATTATATCATTAATATTATATTATATAAGTAAGATATTATACTAGACATTAATTGAAACTCTTATTTTTTTATATTATAGGCTGTAAGATTTCGATTAAATCATGCTAGTACTACAGGAAAACCGACAGCAGAAAGAGAATTTAGTATTTGGGTTGGAGATTTATCAACAGATGTAGATGATTATTCTTTATATAGAGCATTTGCTGCTAAGTATAATTCAATCAGAACAGCAAAAGTCATTTTAGATAGTTCTGGATTTAGTAAAGGATATGGTTTTGTCAGATTTGCTAATGAGGAAGAACAAAAAAATAGTTTAGTTACTATGAATGGATATAGGGGATTGGGAACAAAATCATTAAAAATTTGTAATGCTGTCCCTAGGCCTTGGAATAAATTATCAGGGTATATAAATTTTAATTTTAATACAAATTTAATTTTATTTATAAAATATATGTATACTATCATGTAGTACTAACAAATAATTTTTGTCTTTTTAGATCTACACCACCACAATCATCGTCAGAGTATACACCATCAAATTTAAATTCAGATGCTTATAATTATTATGATACATCATCCTATTGGAACAGTTACAGTGCATGGCAGCAAGGTTATTATGAAAGTGAACCTACATCAGATGGATATAATAGTTATGTATCTGATCAAAAACCTGAAGAAGATGAATTAGAATTAATTGGTATGAAATATAATATTGTTTATAGATACATTGATATCATTTTAATTTTTTTTTTTTACAGAACATTCAGTTCCTATAGATATTGATAAACTTAATAGAGAAATTATAGAACAAGATTACAATCTGTGGGATGCATTAGAAAGTTCAAAGTGGATTCCATGTGACACCTTAGAATTGTGTTATTAAAATTTCTTTTGACATAAATTACTTATTTGCTATATCTATGCAATTATGTATTTTTATGTATGATTTAAATAAATTTATAAATTGTAAAATAAGAATTTGTAAGATAAACTTTACTTTTATTATAAAAAATTTTTTACTATTAACTTATTATATAAATTTCATGTTATAAAATTCAGTATGTAAAAAAATTGAATATTTCAGTATTTAAAAATGGAATTATTATTTGAATGTAATAAGAAATTATTCATATTTTATAATATTTAAATTATTTTTTAAAATAAAGATTAAAATTTTTTGAGAAGATAAAAATACTGTACAATCTATATAAAAAATCTATATAAATAATTATGGGTTTAAATATATGATACAAGAAAACCATAATTGTTGAAATGGATATTACATTTTTGAATTGGTAAAAAATTAAATTATTAAATGATTAATTATTGGTAAAGATTCAAAATTGATATTTTCCTAAAAGTTCATTTTTATTGAATCATATTCTATTCGTTACAAAGATAAAAAATGTCAAAGCAACCATAGGTTACAACTCAGTTATTTTCTTGAAAAAGAATGATGTTAAAGTTCCATTAGTCCTTGGACTTCATTTACAATGTGTTTACATTTTGCAGTCAAATATAAATTACATATTTTCTTTGTCCCTTATTCTTCTCAATTTAGCATTTTTCTTATCTAAAATTTAAATAAAATATAAATAATATTTTTTAATAATAATAAATTTTATTGTATTTTAAATAATCACAACCAACAATATATTTATATAAGATTAAATAAATGACTTTAAAAACTTTATAAAGATTAAATTAATTATAATCTTTTTTTTTCTATAGGAATTCATTCAAAATATTATAATGATTATAATTGCTAAATATTTTAATAAATATACTTACATTAGCTTTTTTGAGATTTTAAGTATTAACGTCCGAACTAACCATATAAACTTGTAAAACACTTTTACCAGGTTCCTCCAAAGATTCCTTTGATAAAATAACCAAAGAACCTGGTTCTACATTACCAATGCTTGGTATAACTGTTTTAATAGGATCTATATGATGAATTTCTGAATTAAGATTGATATTGTCAAAAATTAAATTCTCTGTAACTTTTGCATTATCTTCTGATGAAATTGTTATTTCATCGTTGGAAGAACAATTTAACCTTTCATTATCAAGAGTATTTATATCAGGTCCCTGTAATCTTTTTATTTTTGGTAATCTTCCAGATCTTGTTGGTCTTACACGATAAATTTCTGTGTCACTGTCAACATCGTTACATGAACTTAATGATTCTACATCATCTTCTTTGATCAACAGTTTTCTTTCATCTCTTGTTCTTTTATACATTTTTTTATTTGTTTTATTTGATATTTGTTGACATTCATCATTTAAATGTGTATTTTCTTTACATATTATTGGGTCTAAACCAAAATCGTCTTCCTTTTCTTCTTCATTGTCAGATGCATCCATTTCTGCAATACTAGATGCTACAATTCCTAAAAATAAATTAGTAAATATAAATTAATAAATTAATAGGTCAATATTTTAAATTTTAATTATCAACATTTAATGTAATAATATAATTTTATGTAGAAGAAATATTATTTTGTACAAAATAAAATCAATTAAAAAAATATTTGATTAAACTCAAAAATTTTAAATTTTAGCTTAAACTTACTTCGTCTTCTGCTTGATTTTGAATTTTTCTTACTTTTTGTCCTTTGTTGCTTTCGTTTTTCTTGTATATGTAAGTATTCTTTTTCTGAATTTTCAAATGTCGCTATAAATAATAAAAATTATGATATTAATCAATATCAAAATAAATCAAACAATTATTAATTATTAAATATATTAATTATAAATTATTAAACAATTTAATAATTTTATAAATATTTTAATTTTGTTAGATCTTGAGTTTGCATTTTATTATTAATATAAACAAATTTATTCATAAAATTATTAGTATAAACTAAACATAAATTTTAAATATATTTTATATAAAATTTCATTATATAAGTTGAATATTTGTTGAATATAAATATATATATTCAATTGATTTAAATTATTTTTTACTTTTATATTATATATTTTTTATATTATATATAATTAATATAAATAATAAATATTATATATAATTAATATTTTTATTATATAAATATAATTAATAAAATATATTGAAATAAGTCTATTTGTGAAAAAATGTGAAAAAATACAAAATAAATATAATATATTTATATAATTTTAGAAAAAAAAATTTTGAATAATTTTATTGTCAAATTATATTTATAAACGCAAAAATAATAAATAGCTTTATTGTAAATATTTTTATTATTTAACCATCTTATGCAATATTTTTTACAAAATATATGATATATGAATTTGTACTTGATTTTTAAAAAATATATAAATTTACCTAATGATTTTTCTAACATTTCAGTATCAAATTCTTGATGATATGCCAGTGCTTTCTCAACCAAATGTCTATTAACTTTTTCTTCTTTCTTAAATTTTAACTTCATTTCTTGCCTTGTTCTATGAGGAAAAAGACTTTGCATCAACAAAAAATCTGTACCAATTGTATTTAATGCTTTATAGAATTTTAAAGTTTCCCGTTCGGACCATTCTTTGCTTTTCTGTCGCTTTTTATAAAATCCACTTCCACTATTATCATCATCAATAATAGCTTCTTTTGCTAATACTTTCCTACCTTTTTTTGCATTAGTTTGTTCTATAACAAGACTTTGTTCATCTATTATTAGTTGACCATTTGGTCCAACTTTTACTTGAGGCACTGGCATTGCAGATGATGGATCATCTTCATTTTCTTCTTCCTGAAATTCTTCAGACCTGTAAAAATAATTATTTGTTTCCCATTTTTATTTATATATTGTTATTACAATTATTTTTGAATTGAAACATTTATATTATTTAATATATTTATAACATATATAATATAATATTTATAATAATAAAGTTTATTTATTTATTTAATACATACTGATATTCCAACATTTTTCTTGTTGTAGATTCACTAGATTTCTTCATAGGATTAGTAACAGGATTGTAATATATTAAATCATACATTGTAAGTTTACTTCTATCTGGAGTTTTATTTTCATGTTTTAAATGAAATTCTCTTCTAGCCTCTGCTAGTTTTCTTGTAGATTCTGAGACTAAAATACGTCTCTTTTGTCCCAATTTAGTTGTTATTAAATTGTTTTTAATATTATTAGTAACAGCATCTTTCGTATTATATGATAATTGTACTAAGTCATTTTTTGTATGATTGGTAATACTGCAAGGTAATCTTCTACTATCATCTTCAGATTCACTTGTACTCGCTCCACTTCCTTGAATACTGTTTCTTCTTACTCTGCTATTATTATCAAATTTTGGTGTTGGTTTCATAAAACCAGACCGATTTTGTGTTGATTTTATAGGAGAAGCTACAACAACAAAATATTTTAACAATTCTTTATCTGATAATATTTCTTAATTTTCCTATCTTACAATTTATGATATATCTCTATAATAATTGCTTATTTTTGAAAAACTTATGATAAAGTGTAATTTTATTTTTCAATTTATATAAAGAACAAATAACATAAATAATTACTTTTACTGCATTCCATTATCTTGTTTTTTTTTTTTTACGATTCAGTAAAGAATATCAGTATTTCCTTTAAAATCATTGCAAATAATGACTTGCCTTTTCTTTAAATTACAGACTGATAATCAGTTAGGCTGTTAGTGTCTGCATGCAGCTTTGCATAGCGCTAATACAAATGCATAATGCATTTGTACATTCCAAGTATAAAAATGACTTTACGTAGGAACTTAAACAATTATAAATCAAAAAATCAATAATAATACAAAATAATAATATAAATAATAAGAATTATATTATATTCATTAATAAACATAGCTGATTTATATAAATATTTTTAAATTGTGAATGAAAACTCTTTAATTTTTGAATTATAATACAATATATATTGCATTATACTTACTGATTTGTGTTATATTTAAAATTTCTGATGACTGTATATTTACAATTTCTTCTTTAGAATTTTGCATAGAATCATTCTTATATTCGTTACATTGTTCAGTAGGTAATTGTTCATTTGGCACTTGTTCTTCTATCTCTTGTATTTGTATTATCTTTTTTGTATTTTCTAAATTTTCTTGTTCTTGTGTTTCATGTAAAATATTTTCTGAACTTTGTTGTAATGAATCATCAGATATATTTTTATTTTTGTCACTGTTCTCAAATGTGTTAATAATTTCAGTATCAGATATATCTTGTGTTGCTTTTCTTCGAGTTGGAACTGTAACTATAGCCTTTATACGTGCTCGCTTCATTGTTTTAAAAATTTATTAAAAATAAATCTGTAAGCATTATTTAATATTAAAATTTATTTTAATTATTTATTTATTTTTATTTTATTTTAGATTATTTATTTTATATTACGCATTATTAATATTATTTAAGTATAATGTATTAATAATATAAATATAAATTAATTTATCTCACAAAAAAATTATAAAATTTCTAAATCATCCATTTACTTGAAATTTTAAGTAATGTTAAATTTTTATCATGGATATTTAGAAATTCCATTATTAGAATATATTATTTTAATTACCTATATTTAAAAAAATAAAATCATTTTAAACATCAAAAATATAATATCCAAGTAGTTAAAATTTTGATTTCTGATAGATTTTTTTAATTTACAAATATATTTCTTAATATTCTTCAAAAAATAATATAAATATAATAATACAAAAATGAAAATAATAATATAAATGAAATAATAACAAAAATTTACAACAAAAAATTTTATAATCAAAAATCAAAAAGAAAAATATAATGTTCACTCTACATTTTAATCATAGATCTTGTTACAATGTTACATCATTAATAATTGTTAAAATTAATATAATATGATACAAAACATATATAATATGATATAAAACATGATTATATAATATAATGAAAATTGTGACAAAATTTTTTAAAATAATTTTGGAAGCATAACAAATATCAAAAATACAAATATAATTATATAAAGATCAATAAATATAATTATAATCAAATGTTATTGCAATCAATAGATAAGAGAATTTCCAAATTTAACATTACTTTATAACATAAAGTTATATTTTACTTACTAAAGTTTACAATATAATTTGTGTAAAATAAACTAGCAATAACATATTATTTTCAATAGCTAATTTTTTTTATCATTTATAATAGTATCATCATTCATTAATTCATTATGCTTTCTAATTTATTTTTTCTTTTTACTAAGTTTTTCCAAAAAATTTTTTATTTTTTTTAAATTATCATGATTTCATTTTTTCACAAGAATAATTGATTATACTTATAATATTTCAATGATATTTTATCATATATTTTAGTTTTAAAATTTTATACACTTTATAGACAGATTATCCTAATGTCATTCCATCTTCCTGGAATTTCTACTATTCAATTTTTATAAAATAATCTTGATTTATTTGCAAAATACTTGAAATAACTTTTAATGATATTAAAAAAAACAGTTTTTCTATTGAAAATTATTAAATCATTTTAAATCATCTAATTATTTTATTTAATATATAATTGCAAAAATATAGCTTATTCAACTTGCAACTTGTTCCAATATTATTAATTGGTAAATTTTGCCAAAAAGCTCTGGACACTTAACTTAGAATACACAATAGTGAAAAATTAAAAAAAAACTGAATGTCTTGTCCCAATTCTAATATTAATAAAAAATAGACTGTACTCCTCAAATTTTGATCACCAAAACCGTATGTACAAATAACGAAAAGAATTTTTAGGACAACTTTATAATTATATTGTTGTGCATTCGCCTTGAATGTACTATTAATATTGTTGCATGTTTGCCTTGAAGATAATATAATTGTGGATATACCTTGATATAATGAAAATATCAAAAATAATTTTAAAATATAAAATTTTAATTTAAGATGATTATTTAACATAGTTAATCAAAATTTAAATTTAAATATTTTTAGATCGATAAATGTTATTTTATAAATTTTTAATCTATTTTCATATTTTTTTAGATTTTTATTTATCAATGTTATATTAAATTTTTTATCAAAATTTTATTGTTCTCTTGTTTTTTAATAAATCTTAATTTCATTTATATAATTACAATTACTAATTTGTTTATTAATATATAAGTAATTTATAATAATTAAAAGTTGAATGTTATTTATATATATTACTCTAGAAATCCCGATCACAACTTACATTTTAAAGACGTCTATTTTAGTTCTAAACCCGAGAGCCTAAACGTCATTTTTAAGATGTTTAGTGACAGATATTTCGAGCATCATCTTAAAAATGATTGGTATAAAACATACGGAAGACGTTATGAATTTTGTTTAAATATTTCTCATAGATTTTTTAAAATAATTACTAATTATATTATTTCTAGACAATATGCAAAATTTTGAAATTTTCAATTTTATTCATTAATTTTAAGTTTTAAATTATGTCTTGTGAAGATAAGTTTCATTTTATAAATTTTCATCAATTCCTATATAAATAACTCAATCCAATTTTAATTTTTAACAAAATAACTATTCATGATTAAAATGTCAGTATGAAAAAATGTCTTAATTTTTAGCATTTTTGAAGCATATTTAAGATATTTTTAAGATATTAAATGTTTTTAAAATGTCTTTAAATTGTAAAATTAATATTAACGTAATGATAATAGTAACTAATACTTTATAATAATAGAAAAAAAATAATAATATAAATAATAATTGTAAAAATATACCAAATCTAATAAATTATATATAAGTTACAAATGTATAAATATTATAACATTTATAAATTAGAATAAATTTTGTTAGGTTAGAAAATGATATAGTATATTTCCAAATTGAAAGTTTCATAAACAAATGATACGTAAAAGTTTTTATGTAAATGATAAAATTAAGAAAATTTAATATGAACATAAAATTGATTATTATCTTAGATTAATTTAATTATTATAAACGTCAAAACATTACAAGTCAACGAATATCTATTTATAGAACATGAAAGAAATAGAAATGGAAACAAAGCTTGACATTATGTAGAAAGTTACATCTTCACATCAGTTGTCCTAAAAGATCAGAAATAATTGTAAAACTTAATTATATTTTAAGAAAACAATGAAGTATATAATATTTAAATAAGTATATATAGATATGTGTATACATATATTAACTATAGGATAGGATGTGATAAAGTACAAAAGTAATGTTAAGTTCATGGTATTGTGTAAAAAGACAGCAGTACGAGTACGTTTCAATAACGCTTTAATGATGCATAAACAAGTAACGACTTATTAATCATTTTGTATTTTATTTTATCATATTAATTTTAAGTTAAGTATTTTTACCCAATGTTCGTGAAAATAATTATTGCACTTTTAATGTAATACTATCTTTATATTAGAGGTTATTTCTATAAAATGATTACATTTTTCATTAAAAAAGTAAACATATACAATTAATAAAAATAATGAATTTCTTATGATTTTCAGAGGATATTTAATTTTTTTAATACAATAAGTGATTTATAAAATAAATATAGAAATGCTTCCTAACATACATGATAAAGATTACAGAGTTTTGGATTTAGTACGACAACGTGAAATACGGGTATGTTAATAAAAATTAAACACATATATATATTTATTTTTAAATGTATTTTTATTTAATATTTCTTAATATAAATTTCAAAATATTATTTTTAAATACATTTAAAATATTAAAACATTTTTCAATATTTTTATGTTCTGTTATAAAATGTATTTAATTCTATTTGAATTATTTTATATAGGATTCAGTGGCATATGCAGTTTCTCAAAAATTACATGTGACAGAAAATTTAATATCCCGCTTAGGACTTGAAAAAGAATTAGTTGGTCATACAGGATGTGTCAATTGTTTGGAATGGAATGAAAGTGGACAGTAAGTATTTATTAAATAAAGAATAAAATAAATAATAAATAATAAGTAATAAATGATTTGCAATATAAAAGATATTTATAGAATTATTGATAATTTATATATGTTTATAATATATATTATTTCACATAAAATGAGATAATTAAATGTAATTTAATATTTAATAAATTATTATTTTTATGAATTATATATTTTTAGAATTCTTGCTTCTGCATCTGATGATATGAATATTATATTATGGGATCCATTTCGATATGAAAAAAAATTAGTACTTCGTACACGTCATCATGGAAATATATTTTCTGTCAAGGTAAATATATTTGATTTCAAATATTAGACTGTTGATTTATTTAAATTGTACTTTAAAATATTATTAATTTTTGTAATTAAAATTTTTTTTGGTACATTTATCAAAGAATTTTATAATTAAAAATAAATCAGAAAAATATATATTATTTTTTTTTTCTTTAGTTCCTGCCAAAATCAAATGATAGGATATTAGTATCAGGTGCTGGAGATGGAAAAGTACGAGTTCGAGATCTTACACTTCTTGAACCAATATTTTCGTGTAATTGTCATATAGGTCGCGTAAAACGTATTGCCACTGCAACTACTGTACCTTTTCTTTTTTGGAGTGCTGCAGAAGATGGTCTTATTTTACAATATGATATTCGTGCTCCTCATAGTTGCAAAAGTAATGACTGTAATAGTGTGTTAGTAAATCTTGTTAATCATGCTGGTCGATATGCAGAGGGCAAATGTATTTCTGTGAATCCAAAGAAACCTGAATTAATAGCTATTGGAGCTAATGATGCTTATATACGAATGTATGATCGTAGAATGATTAAGCTTTCTCAGGTAATTATAAAATTAAAATTAAACATTCAGAAAACTTATATAATAACTGGAAGAATCACTAGATGAATATTATGAATATTATTTATAACATTTTATACAAAAAAAAATGGTTTGTAATGTTAGGTGCCTATTTCGTCTCCACATAGTAACTGGACAAGAGGAAATGTATGTATACGGCTAGCTGGTGGAGGTGATCCAGATGAAAATATACCATTGGGTTGCGCACAGTACTTTATCGCGGGTTCGTTCGTACGATCAGAAATAGCGTACGCGACTCCTTTACCCTTATTTTCCTCTTTTGTTACATTTTATATGATCACTCTAACAAAGACTGTTAATGTTTGATATTGAGCAGGCCATCTGCATTCTCGACAACGTGACGGTAATAGGAGTCTTACTACTACATATTTAACCTTCAGTGCTGATGGAAATGAACTTCTTGTTAACATGGGTGGAGAACAGATTTATTTATTTGATATCAATAATCCAAAGAATTTGAAGACTTGTTTTGGTTATTCTACAAGTATGTATTTGTAATTATAATTATGGAAATTTTATATTATCATAATTATAAAAATAATATGTTATTAGAATATAAAAAATTTTAAATATTCATATAATACAAAATATTTAAAATCTTTTTATAAATATTACTAATGAATGAATTTTATATTATATCTACTACAATTTACAAATAAAAAAATTAACTTGTACTAAACTTGTACACAATACATATGAAATCATAAATATTTTTAAATTTATTAATAGGAAATTTTGACAAGTGCTGTATAGAGAATAATGAAGATATAGATTTTACTAATAAAAATATTAAAATCCTACCACCACATGTTGAAGAATTAAAACGTCAAGTAAGTTTTCTTCAAGCTTTTCATAAAATTTAGATATGTTAAAATTAAACGAATTAATTCTTTTTCTTTTTGTCTATTATTATTTTTGTTTTTAGGCTAATGAAAGCTTTGAGCAACAAAAATATACATTGGCAATTAATTTATACAATAAAGCAATTAGTTATTGTCCTACTGCAGCTGTGCTTTTTGCTAATAGAGCTGCAGCATATATGAAACGAACTTGGTATGAGCTTTATTTTTATATTTAAAATTTTTAAATATTATAAAATATTTAAGAAATAAAGTAAATGGAAAAATTTAAAAATTTTAAAAATTATCAAACATTATTTTTCAATTAAAAATATTTACAAAATATACTCATTTTCATTTTTTTATTTTTCTAAATATATTTTTCTATATATCACATAATTTTATATAATTTATAGGGATGGCGATATATATGCTGCTCTTAAAGATTGTCAAACGACATTACTTCTTGATCCTGGACATGTAAAAGCTCATTTCAGGTATATATAATAAAATTTATAATAATAACGCTTTAAGTGTAATGTAATATATATATTACATATGTATACATATATATGTACATATATATACATACACATATATATTTGTAGATTGGCTCGTTGTCTCTTTGATTTACATCAATCAGCTGAAGCTGATAAAATAATTAAAGACTTTCAACAAAAATTTCCTGAATATGCATCTAACTCTGCATGTAAAGCATTAAAAATGGATATAAAAGAAGCAATAGATTCTGGTATGTCTTTCCTTATTACATTCTATTGAAAGATTGATATGATTAGATCTCACATAATTGCTAAGCCATAAATGAAACTAGAAAATAGGAAATAGAAAAAAATTTCATAACACAAATTTAGATGATTTTGAATGATGTATGATTTGATGCATGTTTATATTAGAAATGAAAGCATTTTAAAAATTTCACAATCAATATTTTTTTAATGAATGAATTTGTATATTTTTTGTATTAATTAATATATTTTTTTTCTCTAAAGAAAAATAGTAAATATTTATGACTGAACACAATTAATTTAATTTTATAAAATATAGCAGTTATGTATATGCTAGTTATATATACATATAAATAAGTTATATATA